TTATGAATAGAATATTCAACATGTGTGCATATTCACAGATTATTATCAGTGATAGTATGCACAAATAATAATGTTGAGGGTGCACTATTTGTTCAAACTGAGAGAGAGGCTTCAAGGGGAGGAATATTCACATTTCCCAGAATGCTTCAGGCATTAATTCAAATTTCCAGTATCACGTAGGTGTAAATAAAACTTAGGTGTAAACAAAAGAATATGTGGCTATATGAATGTAGTAACTGTTCATCACACTGACATACTGAATAATCCTGGAACACCACCACGAAGTAATAAACATGTCGAAACTAGTAAAGTACATTTCCCATGTAATGTGGTAATACTTTAGTTAGGTTCTCTAGTTTGAGTACAACATCTGAGTCTCCTCTCAAAATTCTACTTTCTTCTCTTTCTACATCTTCTTCCAAATTTTCAGTTGCTATTTTGTAAACATAGCTTTTCCTAGAATAATAAATTTGCATCTTTATACTGTGAATATTCACAGTGAAAGTGGTTGATATTTATTCAGTATTGTCATTAAAAGGCATGATCACCAGGTTATTATTTTAATAATGTACATGGATAGGTGTATATTTATATGCAATACTGTACATCAGCAGGTATTTACAGCTATAACAGTGCACTATAACAGATAGTAATTTTGATAGAAATAGTGTGCATAACCAAGTGATAATTTGAAATCCAATAACATGCCATACTCATTCCATGGATAAATTGTACTTACCATATCCCAGACATAATTTGAAATCCAATAACATGCCATACTCATTCCACGGATAAATTGTACTTACCATATCCCAGGCACAATTTGAAATCCAATAACATGCCAGACTCATTCCACGGATAAATTGTACTTACCATATCCCAGGCACAATTTGAAATCCAATAACTGCCAGACTCATTCCATTGATAAATTGTACTTAGGTACCATATCCCTGACATAATTTGAAATCCAATAACATGCCAGATTCATTCTACTGATAAATTGTACTTACCATATCCCAGACATAATTTGAAATCCAATAACACGCCAGATTCATTCTACTGATAAATTGTACTTACCATATCCCAGACATAATTTGAAATCCAATAACTGCCAGACTCATTCCACTGATAAATTGTACTTACCATATCCCAGACATAATTTGAAATCCAATAACATGGCAGACTCATTTCATTGATAAATTGTACTTTATACCATATCCCAGACATAATTTGAAATCCAATAACATGCCAGACTCATTCCACTGATAATTTTTACTTTATACCATATCCCAGACATAATTTGAAATCCAATAACATGCCGGACTCATCCCATTGATAAATTGTACTTACCATATCCCAGACATAATTTGAAATCCAATAACATGCCACACTCATTCCATTGATAAATTGTACTTACCATATTCCAGACATAATTTGAATTCCAATAACATGCCGGACTCATTCCACTGATAAATTGTACTTACCATATCCCAGACATAATTTGAAATCCAATAACATGCCGGACTCATTCCATTGATAAATTGTACTTACCATATCCCAGACATAATTTGAAATCCAATAACACGCCGGACTCATTCCACTGATAAATAGTACTTACCATATCCCAGACATAATTTGAAATCCAATAACACGCCGGACTCATCCCATTGATAAATTGTACTTACCATATCCCAGACATAATTTGAAATCCAATAACATGCCACACTCATTCCATTGATAAATTGTACTTACCATATTCCAGACATAATTTGAATTCCAATAACATGCCAGACTCATTCCACTGATAAATTGTACTTACCATATCCCAGACATAATTTGAAATCCAATAACATGCCATACTCATTCCACTGATAAATTGTACTTACCATATCCCAGACATAATTTGAAATTCAATAACATGCCAGACTCATTCCACTGATAAATTGTACTTACCATATCCCCGACATAATTTGAAATCCAATAACATGCCAGACTCATTCCACTGATAAATTGTACTTACCATATCCCAGACATAATTTGAAATCCAATAACATGCCAGACTCATTCCACTGATAAATTGTACTTACCATATCCCAGACATAATTTGAAATCCAATAACATGCCACACTCATTCCATTGATAAATTGTACTCCACTACTTTGCACCTCAGATTCGCCTTTTGCACCACTTTTCCACTACTTTGCACATAGTTTCGCGTTTTGCACCACTTTCCACTACTTTGCACCTTAGATTCGCATTTTGCTCCACTTTTCCACTACTTTGCATCTTCGATTCGCATTTTGCTCCACTTCTCCACTACTTTGCACCTTAGATTCGAGTTTGCACCACTTTCCCACTACTTTGCACCTTAGATTCGCGTTTTGCACCACTTTCCACTACTTTGCACCTTAGATTCGCATTTTGCTCCACTTTTCCACTACTTTGCATCTTCGATTCGCATTTTGCTCCACTTTTCCACTACTTTGCACCTTAGATTCGAGTTTGCACCACTTTCCCACTACTTTGCACCTTAGATTCGCGTTTTGCACCACTTTTCCACTACTTTGCATCTTCGATTCGCATTTTGCACCATTTTTCCACTACTTTGCACCTTAGATTCGCGTTTTGCACCATTTTTCCACCTTAGACATTTCTACTGTCAGACCAGACTCGTGATTGGTGACTTAACTTCATTTCTCTTAACATCAGTATATTCAAATGAATCAAAGTTTGCAAATGAGATGGACTGGGATTCATGATATCTACCCATGTATGCAAATGTGACGACTAGGATTTTGGAATTTCTAATTCTCCCAACATCAGTATATGCAAATGAGATCTGATTTTAATAATCCCCCACACCAGTGTTTGCAAATGAGATGACTGAGATTAGTTATTTCTAATTCTCCTCAAACTAATGTATGCAAACGAGACAACCAAGATTTAGGAATTTCTAATTCTCCCAACATCAGAATATGCAAATAAGATCTGTTTTCAATTTTCCCAACACCAGTGTTTGCAAATGAGATGACTGAGATTCACGACTTCTAATTCTCCACAAACCCATGTGTACAAATGAAGCAACTGAGATTTAGGAATTTCTAATTCTCCCAACATCAGCATTTGCAAATGAGATGTTATTCTCTTAGCCACCAGTGTAAACAAATGGGCTTAAAAACGAGACATAAACACTTATTCTTGCACACAAATAAGGTCAATCAGGATATTTGACAATTGAGAATATTTTAAAGTGGGGAAGTCAGCACCTACGCATGCATCAGATGGCCATATCGTGTCATTGTTTACAAACAAGCATCTACCCACGAGTCTTAGCGCATGTTATCATTTGGGATTCGATTTCCACGTGTGCACAGGTGATGACCCTCCTGCTTTAAGATACAACCTATCAACTAACTTAAAGAATACAGCAACACAAACAGCCTACATGCCATACAAAACATTCTATATAAGAATATACATGGAGACTTGTGACAGTCACATTACCACATCTGTGCCACCATTCAAACTCATCAATGAGACATTATTTTTAAAAAATATGATTTTATTTAAAAGCAAGAAATTAAAACAATTTCATTAAAAACAAAATATTTGTATACACATTGAACAACAAGTACAGGTAAGTCCATACAAATGACAACAGTACAAAGATTATACTGACAAAAGTGATTGAAACTACAATGTAGTTGCAGCTATTCTATTCAATAGAAGTACATTTTACTTTTTGACACATGAATGACAAATTATATAATTAAAAATTTATTAGGCATCTACAGCCTTTCATAATATTTTGGTGGACATTGATTCCATTGCATTTGAAATGTACGTTTTCGAAAATATTTTTACCTGGCATGCAAATTAGCTGATTAATATGCAGAAACCCGTACATCAGTTCATGTGCACAGACAAATTATAATTCACTCATTTTCTTGAATTTGAATTTTGATATTCAGAAATTTCATAGTTCTTTCATATATTTCATATATTCATGAAGCATTGCACCATTTTTAATCTGATCTGAAAAATACAATATGGTTCCATTATATACATGTTCAATGTACCAATGTATGCACAATGAATGGCTGTCCATGTATAACCTAAATCTGGTTCCTGAGTGGCGCTGGGACTGTGTTCATGCGAACAAAATGGCTGCCAGTTGGCAGTTTTAAAATCGATCTGAATAATAAAATGACGTACATCAAGGTCTTATAATTTCCAATGAATGTACCAAGTTCGCACAAAATTCATCTATACACAATCAAGATCAGGTTCCAAAATGGCAGATTTTGATGAATTTTTAACATTAATATGGCCAAATGCACAAATGCAACAAAAAATATGAAATTTGAACATGCAATGTTGGCAATACAGCTAATAAACCACATTCATTAAAACTGAATGGTCACCAGTCGGCCATTTTGAATAAATCTGAAAAACAAAACAGTGTGCATAAAGGTCCTAATAATGTGCATGTACCAACCAAGCCTGAATGAAATCCACCCATACACTATATCAAGATCGTTCATATGCAAAAATATGTGTGTTTAAAATTTTAATGTGATCAGCCGAGAAATGTACAAGATTACAGGTCTGGATGGACTGATGCCAGCACGCACACAGAGGTCAATCCTTAAGTCCATGTTTTCAATCAGCATCTGCAAGTGAAAATACTTTGAGCTATTTTAATAGTGTCAACTAAAAGTTACACACTCATCACACATTCAATGCATTTTACACAAATTGTACTTGACGCATGGGATCCACATTGAAGATACCGGTAATGTAGTGATTACCATAGGCGCTTCCATTATTATTACAACCACAATACCATGGTGTTAAGAACAATAAAACTAATCCTGGTTACGGTTATATTCTATTTAAGTACCGATATACATTAGTAAAATAGTTTACATTTTGACTCATGAATTACATAATTAATTCTTTCTGCATGGAATTCTTTCAAATTTGTTGTGTAAGGGGATATACATAGATACTTATTTATAACGAATATAAATAATGGAGCAAATCCATATTTCAACATTTTGAAATGTACAGCAGTAAAAATGTCGCTAAAGTTCTTTTTGACAAGTCTAATTTTATAAGAAATGTGAAAAACCATTGTTTATCTCTCTATGTGAACAATTGGTGGGTTTAAAATGAAGCCCGTAAAGGGAAACGTATTTGTGTATGTAATGCATGGATATGTATAATTGACGATGTGGGTGTACAGACAATTTAAGCTGAAATATGAAGTTGTCACTATTACCAGAGTATATTTTTGCATTATTTGGTTTCTGTACATGTGCCTGAATTGAGGATGACAAAGTTAGACAATATGACATAGTGACATGTGATCTTGAGATGGCTTTGATCTTTTCTTGAAAGATCTTAACGGAGAGGTGACCACTAATCTGACAAGGTTGCACGAGTTGCGCCCTCAACGGTGCTTCAAACCCAACACATGCCTGACAGAACATTGTAGTTTTTCACTTCCCCGACAATTTTTTGTCAGTACCAATCAAATTGCAGGAACGTCAGATAGTGACATCCACCAAAAAGTAACCATACACAGCAGAGTATGTGCGATAAGGTTCTGGCAAATTTCCGCCCAATATTTATCATCTTGTTGAAAACAGGTTTGCTGACAATGCAAACACGGCTTTGATTGACGGTGTTACCATGACCACCAAAATGAAACTCATTTGCAAGAAGGTGTGAAATTTGCGAATTTGCAGTATTGATATTGCCAACGAAACATACACTATTCTGTCAGGAGTTAGTGGGGTCTGATACAAGAGTACGTTTCCAATTTTTTGTCAGAGGACTTCGTCAATGGTTATTTTTAGCTCCAAATAATAAGTCAATCACAAGTACAAAATAACAAGTTTTAAAATACAACAAATTTTTTATCTTCTCTGCCCCACTCACAATTATTTTTTATGCTGACTCCGTGTGATATGACATGTGAATTCAATCTTGTCCCGGCACTCATAACCACAAATACCACACTGGAATGGATTCCTGTTTCCATGGCAACTCATATGAAGCGTATATATAACATTATCGGTGAAGAATGTCCCACAGTGATTGCAGGACTTCATATTAGAACAGCTGCAGTCTGGGTTCTCAACCTGTTCAGTTTGGCAGCTTTCTGAAACTAATCGGTCTTTGGCAGGATTTTTTTCCAGCAGTTGTGGCGTGACTCGAAGAGAAACGGGAACGATTGGAGGAGAGTGGTTTTTGTCCACATGCTGAACTAAACTGGCAGCTTGTTTGGGACGTGCATTGATAGATGCCATTGGCATTGACAATGAATAGATGGGAGTGTCAAATCCAGGCTGAGAAGCACTGCTAATGGACACAGAGTCTGGTTGGGTGAAACTAGCGTTATCTATACTTTTACGCTGCACTGTGTGTGAGATGGGCGTACTTGTGTACACTGACTGGATGTGAGTGAATTCCATCAATTTTCTCTGTGCGGCTGCTTCTAAGATACTACCAGGGCGAAAGTCTCTGTCATTACGGTCATCTATACTGGCCGTTTGTTTGTTTTGATTTTCTACCCCCTTATCAACAACTATTGAATTAGATGCACTCGCACAAGTAATGTTAACCGATGTGGGCATTGACTCAGGAGATGAACTGATTTCTGATGAAGACAACTCAGATGAAGGGTTCCCAGAAAATACATTTGATATCCGCGGCAATCCTTGCAGATCATTAGGGGACTGAGCTTGCAACATGTGTCTGTAATTATTGTCCTTGTCATGGCATTTCCGCATATGAACAGTCACGTTCCATTTATAACGGCTCTGATATGAACATCGACCACATCGATATGGTTTCTCATTCGCATGCGTATGCCGTTTAATATGTCTTAACAGACTGCTGCGAAATTCACTACTGAATGGACAATACTGACAGCAGTACGGTTTGATTCCGGAATGAACTTTCATGTGCTCTTGATACATTTGATAACTTGCAGTCGTGTAATGGCACAAAGTACATGTGAATCCTCCGTGGGCGGTATTCAAATAAGGTGAAACATCCTCACCATGTTGTTTATCCTCCAAATCATCAGACGCTTCTTCAGCAGATAATTCTTCTTCTTCATCACACATTTCTTCCTCTTCTTTTACAGAATCTCTCTTTACCGTCTCTGCCATGTCTTTTCTATTTAACATAAATTCCATCTGTTGAATAGCACCATCCATTCTTTGTGCTCAGATAGTGGCTAGTATTTACCTGTTTAATTAAATCAGACAAAGGTATTGGTCAAATTCTATAAATAATTTGATGATAATAAATTGAGTACCATAAAGTCCATATCCCCAATAAAAAACTACACCACCATTTTGAGAACAATTGAGAACTGAAATTCATGTGTAGATGCTCTAATAGAAGACGCATCCCCTCTGTTGCATTGTATCATGTGAACAAAGGTTGCAGATTTTAATACAGATTCAACAGTAGTGGCTATATCCATTAAAAGTATCAAAAGATATAGCAGCTTGTAACACAGACTAAAAAAAAAATAGCATAATCTTTGATAGCTAATTCATCAGATCAAATCAAATCCGCCAAGGCAAATCTTAAAATAATTGACGACATGTTAAGTTGTTGATGTTTGGTGTTTTAAGGACTACTGTAAAATCTGTATTATAAACCGCGGCTTCTATTAAAATGGTACAAAGCAACAGAGGGGATGCGGCTTCTATTAGAGTATCTACACATATGAGAAATTATGAATTTTAGGTTCTCAATGATTCAAAAAGAATGGGTGCGACTTCTATTAGGAATGCGGCTTCTAATACAGATTTTAAGGAGTAGGGTGGAGTTAGTGGTCACCAGTCAGTCAAATGTCAACAAAAAACAAATCAACAAGCATATCGGTACATGTATGTCTCCTATTGTGATTTGTTTTGTACAATCGATGCAGGCATATGCTGGTTTAATGATCTTGTTCAGGCAATGTTCGATGGGCACTAAAATGGTTTTCAACATGAAGTGGAATCTTGAGAAGGCTGTAACTATTGCATTTCATTTACTTTACCTAAAAACAAACACTTTTCTACTAAAAAAAACATTTCTGTCTTTAATTTTATTTTTACATATTATATATTATATTGTTGGAACCATCTAAGCGCATCAAATTTGTGGAATGCCTGCCTGCAACAAAATGGAAAAATATTTATGTATGTTGTTTAATTATAGTTTTCATAAAATATTGTAGCCACAAAGCTTTCCATGGAGTTATTACAGAAAGATTATGATTTTTGTGAAATTATGTCTTCATGAATTGTGAAACTATCTCTTTTAGTAATCTTAAAGGTAAACATTTTTAAATGAAATGAGAAAAGTTAAAAATTTTATGGAACTGGTAATTTGGAAAAATGTTCCAAAGTATACATTTTATTTTTCTCTCAGATCTGTTTATAGCTTTGATAGCTTTAAATTTTGTTTCCAAGACACAATCAAATTTATTGCTGGAAACATAACATGACAGACAATGCAACTCTTAAAGGGAAGCAGAGATCTGGCTTTTGTCACTCCGTACATGAAATTTGAGATCTATGAATGAATTCTAGCAATAAAATCAACTTGTGTGTGCTGCAAAATGTCCAAAATATCGGGTATAAAATGTGCTGTGAAGTAGACGACAAAAGTCATCTCACCTCTAGAGGGCGTTGGTTGATGATGTCACTAATGAACATGTCTCAGCCATATCTCTATTGTATATGCGTATATCGCTATTGTATATGCGTACCTATTCTGTTCTAGTTTCTATAGACATTGAATAGCCGCCTAAAAGTCAAATTTTTTTTAGTTTTAAACTATCTATAATTATATGCACGCAATCTGACCCTGTGACCTAGATTTGACTGGGATGAAATATTTTATATTAAACAATATTCTGATGTGACGTACTGCCACAAAAATGTATCAACACAAGTATGGTATGACTGTCTGATTTGCAAAGTACATCGGTGTAATTTCTGGATTTCCTTTCTAGATTGTTGACTCTTCACGATGTGTTATAATTATTGTTGTTTTCCCCGAGGAGAACACAAGAGCTCCATGCATGGACTGAGTGAAAGAAAATATAAATAAGCCTAGCATAAAACATAACCTTACACTTCTTTGTGTATTTGTTAATTTTGCGTATGTTTGGTATTACAGTATATTTCAACAATAATGAACGACCCGCCAACCCATAATGGGCAAAAGCTCACTTTGTGCGACATATATGGAGCACAAAGTGTGCTGAGTCGATTATGGGTTGTCAGGGAGTTCATTGTTATTATTTTGGAACGATGTCAATACGAGTAGATTTGCTGCCTCCAAAAAGTGGAAATTTGGAGAAAAATTCACGGTGAATGGAATAGTTTCACAGTCACTGGCCCATGAATATGAATATTTAAAAATGTCTTTCTGGAAATTGTTTCCACAATCTCATATGGAAACTAAGAATGAAACTAGTTTTAATCCATCAAATATTATTGTATTGAACTCATTTACATTGCGTGAATGGGTGACTGATGTGTGGTGTCGAGTAGCATTGCAGTCATCGCCCAAGCGAATGGCACACCGTGACTGGGACGCCGTATTGGTATCCACCGCGGCCTTACGCTACGCTACGCTAGATCGCCGCTGTGGTCCAGCTGAATTGACTATGCGTAGGGGTGCGTACCCAGGGTACATGTACGTAGTCGTATCGTTACCCCATCCCAATAGTGTTTACAAACCATCAAGGTAGATGTTATTGGCAGCTGTCCTGTCTGTGTAATAGTTATTTTAAATTCCATGGGAGGGCAATGATTTGACGAATACTTTGAAACCAAACTTACAGGCGAAGCGAGCGAACGAGCATGGCTGGAAAGCTCATGGGTGTTAGCCATCCTAGAAGGAGAACCAACAGTGATTTTAATCTGACTGCATAATTAAAACAAGCAGCCTATCGGCTGAGATAGCTCCGCTGTTAGCAATGCACATTGCAATTAAAGAACAGAAGATATCATTAGAAAATGAACAATATGTATACCGGTAGTATCAAAGGAACAGGACTTGCTGTTTTCAACAAGAATTCAAAAATATCACTTTTCACCAAAAATAATCATCAAAATTAGATAATTGAAGATATCACCACAAAATTAACAAAACTGCAAGAGGTCCACATGTAGTACCTATATATGTAATATAAAAGCAATCAGACTTGCGGTTTTCAACAAGAAGTCAAAAATATCACTTTTTACCAAAAATGACAAAAATATTCACCAAAATTAGAGAATTAAAGATATCATTACAAAATGAACAAATCTGAGAGAGGTCCACATGTAGTACCTATATATGTAATATCAAAGCAATTGGACTTGCGGTTTTTAGCAAGATGTCGAAAATATTACTTTTTACCAAAAATGACAAAAATATGAACTGAACAAATCTGAGAGAGGTCTACCCAAGGTGCATATTCACCAAGTATCAAAGCATTCAGGCTTGTAGTTTTCAAGAAGAAGTCGAAAAAGTAAAATATTGACACGGACGACGATGGACAATCACTCGTATGATAAGCTCCACTCGACAAAGTCGACAGCGGAGCTAAAATATACTCGCCTTAAAACATGGATATTTTATTTTGCTTATGCAAACTGTGCCCGGACTGTGACAATTACCGGGAGCCGACGCTTAGGAAATACAAGTCACGTCGGTCATCGTGGATCTCGTTTCGCAAATTATGTGGCATAACTCTCTACAGAAACAGAACAGAACAAAATCATCTCTCTGTACTTGTAGACATACATTGTATGTTTGCTCGAATAAATCACCCTTGGTTGATCTCACTTCATCAACTTGATAGGGCGAACTAATTGAGAGGCCACCAGCACCAGTCACGGAAGCTAGAAGCAGGCGTACTAGATGGAACGCTTTGACTGAACACGCTTTAGCGTACAGAGCAGGCAATGATGCCCTCACAAAATTGTCTGATTTCGATATTGAAATCGGCTGTTATTGGTAATGGACAGTTTTATTTGATGCCAATTTTAGTATTAAATACTTGTTATCTAACAATTTCTCTTCTTTTTCAATAGTTTCTCCTTTATTCGTTTTCGAAACATTGTATTCATATCCATGACACAGGGCCTTGATGCTCAATAATGGGATACATTATCGTGAATAATCTGCTGCAATGACGTCATAAAATCCACTGGTATTGATAATGTTATAATATAATTATAAATATCTCATCTTTCGATAATAATAACAATTGTTTAAAATGCACATCAACCGTGTCCTGGTAATAATTTGTTTGGAATGTCGATCGTCGTTGGTTTTTCCATGCCGAGTTTAGGACAGTGTCTGTTCTGACGAATGTCTTTCAAGTTGAGACAGGACAAACATTGATCGTAATTCATGGAGATTATGTTCGTAATTTGAGGGCTGAAAACCCAAATAATTAAACAAATACTATTTATTTTATATATTTTGTTATTTTTCATCACCAAACTATAAAAGAACCAGAGTTGTCCCAGTGAAACAGTCAATTCCAACTACCTATATCTTACCTTGAAATGAAAAAAAAATTCAGAGCATATTATATTAATAACTATTTTTAACTAGTTCACTTTATTTTATTTGTGCCATCAAGGTGAGAAAGGAAGCATGGCTCTCCACAGTTTGAAAATTAAACTGGGCTCGCCAAGATGAAAGTGGAGTTGGCGTAGCTCTTGACCTTTGACATGACATTTTGCAGGGCTTCTGTCATTGGAAGTATCACTTAAATTGTAACATGGATCTTTGAGATGGATGTTGAAAGACTGGAAACCAAAACATCTATTGCACAATTACACAGGGATTCTTTTAAACAGGGGCACAGCGCCCTCATGCCATGGCCATGTGCCCCCTTACCCTGGGAAGCAGATCCTCTGGCAACCATAAAATTCTGAATGACCAGAGATCACATGTGGCCACAGTCTTCAACTGTGACCTGTCTGATAATAATTTTTGCCCCAAGGAAGCCATAGAATGCTCCATTTTAACTTAGAATTATCAAAAACTTCATACCCTGGTAGGGAGAACCCCATCTCCCCCACTTGGTGGCGGCACTGAATTGCAGTGCTCCCTCTTGCAATTTTTTTCTAGAAAAAACCCTGATTACATATGCATAGTGTTATGAGAAGATACAACTTAAATAACAAAAAGACAAATAGTATTAATACGTTGTGTGTCTCCAGACAGGGCAGTTTATATATATGTAATAGACACACTATTATATCTTGGGTTGTAGATTAAATACAAAAAAAATCCATATTTGGAAAGTTGATTTCAATCAAGAGCTAAAATCAGATTCCAAACATAAACAATGGAAATGATTTCCTCAATATGAAGTCAGAAAATTGCAAAATACTGAAGAAACTCTGCAAATGAGTATTAGTCTTGATCATTTTTGCTGTGTCCTTGCTCATTTGCATAGCATGTGTTTTTGCATTTTTGAATACTACGATAATTTATGCATGAGCAACTTTCCAACCATTCACTACAGCCTAAATACAAATTGATTGACGTATGCATGAAACTCCAAAGACCACGAGATCTTTATCACATGATACCATAGTACATAGATATCTCAGTTGCATAAATTGTTGGTAGTATAGATCACAATTGATTTTGCTTTCCAGGAGTTTTTCAAGAACCAGAAACAAAAAACAAACAAAAAAATCTGTTTTCCTAAATGTGGACTAGGGAGGGAAGTCACTTTAAATTTGTCAAATGCAAGATAAGATAAAAAAAACAAAAAAACTGATGACTGAAAAACCGGAAGAAACTCGCATATTTTGTCTGTATGAATGTGAATACATTAATCGAATACAACATAATTTATCCCATTCATAATTCATTGTATCCCATTTAGTTTTTATACCAACACTCCGAGGCAACCAGCATTTACATTAAACACAGTAGATAGCAACGAATATTACATGCTAGGCTGAGATGATCGAAATGGTGCACTATTGCGAAAAGACAAATGCCTATATAATTGCGTTGAGGTCAAGTACTGAACAACAAGGCAATAGACACTTTGTTTTCAATTTTATGTCACATATCGAGCTAACTAGAATATTGAAATGACGTCTCACCATGCTGTGACCTTATCATATGCGTCAAGTCTGTACAACGCCATCTCAGAATGCTCTTCACGTTGTTAAGTTGCTGATTACGGCGTTATTCTCGCTTAGTAGGACGATGCCCGCCACAAAACTATGGTGTGTAAATAGAAATAAGTGCTTTCGACTACATTGGCATTGCACCCTTTGTTCATGTCGCAGAGAACGGGTTAACCACACAATAGTAGGCCCAGCGTCGCTGCTATCGTCTACTGCTCCCAGATACCGTATTTCTGAAGCGCGGACACGAAAAATGGCCGAAGTTAAAGATAGTATTCCCGGCCTCATCGACATTAAACGCTCCGCTTTTTCTTTTCGCCGTTAAGGGGTCAGAGGTCACAATCTTGTCTCCCTCTATTAGGATTGACCAATCACCTGCGAAGGTGATGGAGGGGAGCCCTCTTGAGACGGACCGTGGAAGTGACACCACGTGATATTTTGCAGTAGCAGACGATTTTGATGGTAAATTTTACTGATATTGTTTGAACGAAGAAGCTTGCCAATTGGTGTAGATTATGAGTCTAGACGAGCTTTTCATGCAGATACTGCAATCAGAGCAAAAGGCACAAGATAGGTGGAACCTTTTAGCAGAGTGTAAGTGTAAACGCCTACTGTCGTTCAATCTTCCAAGAAGTATACTGTAAGCAACTTGTTTGCCGGCTTTAGGGATTGACCACTTTGGAGAAAGGGCATGGAAAAAATTGTTAAGGAAAAAATCCTGAACAAAAATCCTGCAGTGATAATCAATAGCAGAAAAAACAATCTGCACACTTAAATCCCAGAAAGAAAATAGTGTAAACAAAAAATTGAACAAAACTACTGGGGGGATGACACAGAATGCTATAGTGTATGATAGAAATAGAATCTTGTGCAGCACAAAATGTTTCTTATTGACATTTCAGGTTATTATTTCTCATTAACTTATTACAAAAAACAAGCAGGAAAAATATGTATTTATTAATAAGGTTATCAAATTCTGAATGCATCAACTTCCACCATGCGTCAGTTGATACAATCAATTAATTAGTTATACAATCAACATTTTTGAAAATGAATAATAAATATGGAAATTAGATAATGAACAAATTGGCAAAACATAGCAAGAATATCATTACCGATATGTCAAGCAACTTTGAAAAAAAATGTCTTGCATCACATTTAATAATTAATTGCTAAGTACATCTATGGAGAAGTCACAACACATTGTGATTGCTTTTTAACAAAACGTGAACTTCAAATTTTTGTACTGACATAAATGTAACTACAGGCCTGTGGCAAGAAAAATATTCTTTAAAACAGTGCATATACCGGTAGATAGTAACATTTCCTTAGTCAATTGATGCAGAATTAAAGTTTGAATAACTTCGGCACCGTGTTGTTGAAAGTTTGACGCTAACATACATGTATATGGATGCCCCTGATGTATGAATTCATGTCTTTGATGGCATAAATGCTTGACCCTGTGTCAAGCCTGACAGGTTGACGAAGCTCTCAGTTGCGTAGTTTTGAATTTCCCTTCCCTTCTCAATTAATTCAGCAATGAACTTGCATTTATATATTTTCTGGGGAAAACAAGTGTACCCCTAGTTTATTGAATATCTATTTTAGTCTTAACTTGGACGTCACAACATTATTTGTTTGACAGATTTACATACATTCTACAAAGCTCCATCAAATGAGACTCATTGTGTGTGTGAAATTCTTGCTAAACCAACTAATCAAATGGTAGATCATAAAATGGAAAATGTTATGTCTGTCTTTGTTTATTTTAATCTGAAGACGAAACAAATCTTTATTTATTGAATTGATCAAAAATTAATCTACTAGTTTGCGCACAAGAAAAATATAATTATTATATATATACATAATTATTTTACTACCATGAATTTTTTTTTTTTCACGATATACATTTTTTCACAATTTTTACAAGTCAGAAGAAAAAATTATGTTCACCTGTTGCTTCTATGACCATTGATAATGTAATATTCAAACACAAAAATATTCAAACACAAAAGAGGGTCTGATTTTTATGAGATGGTATTGATATTCAGTGTTCCAGTCAATGTGATGTGCAGCCACCCAAGGTATAAGTCAGTAGCTTTAACCCTACCCACCATGCATTTATATATTTAAATTTCCCCACAGTAAGAACAGAAACAAATCAAACAAAAGAAGAGATAAAGAACACTGAAGATGAAATAATCGTGCTTCAAGGGCAGTTATCTGTTAAGGTAATGGCTTATAAAGGAGAGGTCAAAATTAAATAATAATAACTTTATTACACTACTATGCCATCAGAGGGCGCAGTATGGTAAATAAAATATAAATCATAAAAAAAATACAGTAGCTAAACTATAAGATAAAATTAAAATTAAAAGATGTTAAAAGCTTAATAGGAAAAAAAAAATTAATGATAGTTACAGAATTCTTCCAATGTAGAGATGATAGCTATCATATACCTGATTTCTGTTTGCCTTATTTAGAAACTTTGCCAGGGGTATGAAGCTCGTCATTATTTTAATGAAATTGTCTGTTTTATTTAGTTTTATTTTTAATTTCTATTTCTTGAAACAGCTCACCTCTTTCTTTATCGAGAAATTCACAATCTAAGATAAAATGTTGTTAGTCCTCAACTGAATTTGTATGACATTTTTTACAAAATCGCTCTTCCGCAGGAATTTTTGGTCGTTGTTGTCTACCTCTTTCAATTTCTAAATTGTGATCACTAAGCCTAAATTTACTCACAATTCTCCAAAGGCTGAAGTTTGTTTGAAGCCTATATGGGACAGATAAATGTACAAACTGCCTATCACTATGAACAGGTGAAAAAAGATATCAGGTTTTTACTTACCATACTGACCAAATGAAGACTGAATTTTTATTTCAAACAGTATGTTGTAATTTATCTTCCTAGGAACAGGTACATCATCAATTGGAACAGATAATTTTATTCTTCAACCAGACCGATGGACAGGCGATGTACTTTTAATTTCAACCATTGTGCCATTGATCATTAGAAATACTAGGAAGGGAGATTTTTTTCTTTTTTATTTCAGGATGATGTTGCAGTAAACAACTTAAATTTGTTTTGTTTTTTTGTGTGTGTCAATATGGTATTTTTTCCTGTAGATTTGTTTTTCTCACCCCAGGTGTCATTGTAAATAATGGGAATGAACATTATTTACATGGTTTGAACATTATAATTGTATAAAATACTAGTACAATCATAGACTACATGGTAAAATATAATAATGGCAGACAAGCTATAGAATATTCATTCAGTTTAATAAGATGCGTACATAAGGATCAAAGTCTTAAAAAAATAATTCCAGCCACACAAACTATTCATACATTTTTAATTTCATGCTTATTGTTTTTTCCACAAATTACACAAAAATAAAACTGCAATATGCAAATAATTTCCAGTTCTACAGTATATCTATTTTCTCTGGGGTGCAATAACTAATTATGTTAATCACATACTTGGCATCGCTTTTTAATGTCCATATCATTCTCACTGATGTAAACGTATAATGTAGTGTACTTGTGTTGATTGTGTTGTCCCTGTGGATTGTTATAAAGTTGTTTGTTTTTAGTTCTTTGAAAACTTAAGTTTTGACCTTCGTGCAGTATCCATGTGTATCTCAGATATGTGTTGTCGAATCACATTCAAATTTTTGGGCGACATATGTTCAACCTTTCTTTTTCAACCAGACCTTGGTTGCATATAGGTGGATTTCATTCATTTCATTCATTCATTCAAACTTGTTACATACATTAGGCATTATAAGACCTTGATGCATGTAATTTAGTTTTTCAGAATGGATTCAAAATGGCCGACCAGTGGCAATTATGTTTTAACTAATGCTTTTCAATCTTGAGCCATATTTCTGACATGCCATGACCAATCATATTCAAACCGTGTATATGTCATACATCATGCCCCACATATGCATGTATAATTGTTTGATGATCAGATTCAAGATGGATGAATGGCAACCATTTTAATGTTAAAAATTCATCAAACTTTGTTTATCAGATTGGACTTAAAGTGGTCTACTGATGCCAATTTTGTTTTAGTTTGAAAGCAGTTTGGAAACCAAAAATGTCTCTGACTTTCTCAGACTGTTTCTGTTTAAACTTTATATATTTCTTAAACTTGAGAACTCACAGGACTATGTAATGCAATTACTTTTTTTTCTTGTTTACTTTCACAAACTTACGTGTACCGGTAATCAAACTTACATAATTAGGTACAGGTGCTACTTTTCACAGTTATAAAATAGTGATATTAACAATTGAATTGAAGGTGTTATTTTAAATTTTCAGTTCCAACTTCTAGCAGAAGAAGAACTAAATCTAAAATTGAACAGTAATAAAGAAACTATTCTTAAAGAACAACTTCAAGAATTACAGCAGCAACATATGAAGAGTTTGGCAGACCTGGTAGGACTTTTTTCTCAATATTATTTATTTAATTGTCAGATGGTATAGAGCTTAATTTTTAGTAGTACTATTTATCAATTTTTGTCTCAGTTACATGTTGCCTATATTATTTATTTATTATTTATTATTATTATTTACACAGGAAAATTTAGAGAAAAAATATAGTAAAGAAAAAGATAGTTTTGTATTTGAAGTTCAGCATTTCAATAAAAAATATGATTTAATTGGAAAGGGGAAACAGTCAAGAGAAAATGATTCTCAGGAGAAACTTGAACACCTAAGGAAAGAAGAAAAGGAACTTGAAAAAGGCAAGTTTAAATTATTGTCTGGTCTTTGCCCATACACTATATAGTTAACCAATTTCTATCAATTTTTACTAGGAAGGTAAAATGCATTGTAGTTAAAATTCAGTTTTTGTAGTTTTATCATTATTTTGTATACCTTAGTTTTAGTTCTTGAGACCATATACTGCTGTTCCTTTCTGTGTCATTATTGTGTTTTGATAAACACATTAAGCTTTTTTTGCCAATAGTAAAGTAATGACTATGTTAATTATGAACATGTTTTAAATGCATTAAATTAATCCGCTGCCTGCCTCCCTGAAAGGTCAGTTGTGGGCATTCCCACCAGAGCCAATCATGTTCGAGGCTGAAGTGGGCTTGGCATCCTCAGCCAATAACAAGCCAGCTTATTGCTGATTTAATATAAATAAACAGTCAATCTGTGGTGTATAATTCCTATTTCTAATTAGTTGCATCTTTGCCTCGCAGCCTGAGCCAGCACCACCTTTTAACTTTGCAAGCAGCCCGTTCACCCACCCGACCCACCCTTTTGCAAAGTGAGTGGGTGCACTTTTAATTCTGCTGTCTGAAATGTGACTTTTGACTGCTATATAATAATAATAATGTTTATTCAACCTTTGTATCAGCACCATGAAAACAGTAATACATATCTTTAAATTACATTCATCATTTCTTTTCTATATTGCCATAAATCAGTTACATATTTCCGAATTAAAGCGGATGAGGTATTTCCAACAATTTCATTTATGTTCCATAGTGTATCACCAAAAAGGAAATTGAACCTATAATTCACCTCCCCCCCGAAAGAAAACTATTCATTGTATAATTCCTATTTCTAATTAGTTGCATCTTTGCCTCACAGCCTGAGCCAGCACCACCTTTTAACTTTGCTAGCAGCCCGTTCACCCACCCGACCCATACATTTGCAAAGTGAGTGGATGCAATTTTATTTCTGCTGTCTGAAATGTGACTTTTGATTGCTATTTTTTTTTATTTTTTTATGTTTTCTAAGCTTTTATTTGCCTTTGAATTTTGTCTTTTATATTTTATCATTTTGCTTTGCTTTGTGTAATGTATTTCTGCATTGTGTTTCTTTTAGCCTTTCTTTCCAGGGGGACTTTTGTTTCATAGTCATTTTGTAGTTGTAGTTTCCCAGTGCCCTCCCAAGCTCAGCCAGCATATAATGTAACACATTTGCATATCAATGTGTGTTGTGTATTTATTGTGGTATGGTTGTTGCCCTATGACGCCCTCTAAGTTTGACCTGTATTTAATTCCCAGAACCAACTGATTCATTCAAATTAATTACACAGTTTTATGAGGAACGATATCACTGATAATTAATATATCACCTGTAGATAGCTAAGGACATTCAATTGAAACCATTGTGCACACAGCAACACTACAATTGCATATTTTATGTTATTTTCACTAAAATCAGTGATTATGGGTATAGCGCCACCCAGTGTTCAAATTATATTATGGCCCCAGATGTAGTATTGCACTGTAGCCAGTTATTTTGTTACAGAATCATATTAAAATAACTAATATTTATTTTTTGCAACCACCACATAATACAGTTATCATGCATTCTTCACTGGAACTGTATCCACAGTGCTTATAAAATTTGCATTAACATTTTAATATAGAGGGCTTGAATGGTATTACTGGGATAAGAGCATGACTTTTTTTTAAAAAGAGCAGTTGTGAAGGATGTTATAAGACTATTTTGTAGGGCATCAAGTCATTCAACACTTCAACAACATTAGAAAAAAATGTATGATAGTTGCAGATAACAACACTTTAAATACTGTATATTAATCAACTGAAGGCAGTTGATGGACTAATTATTTTGTTTTTTATAGAACTTGCCATTTTCAAAAAGCATGAGGAAGTATATCGACAGCTGCAGAATGAGAAAGAGCGACTGCAAAAAAAATTAGCAAAATCACACATTGATGGCAGACTAAGAGGTTGGTCTGATAATGTCAATGAACAGTTTTGTTGATGTAACACTTGTAGTGTTTGTTATCAAACTTGTAGATAAATGTACAACAATTGCTCTCACATTTTAAAAGTTGCCAGCACAATTTAAACAGCAATGCAGTTGCTAAAGCAGGATTTGATAATAAATACTGCAAGTTTAACAACAATTTCATCAACAAAATTTGCATGGGGATAACAAAAAACAAAAAAACAATAATTCATGACAGACCTAGTTTTATGTAACAACTGTGCAAATTTCATCCTGATTTTAATACTGCCAAGATATTTGTGGCTAAAGTTGTGTTCGCGCGAAGCCTCGTAGCACTGGCAAAGAGGTCAAAAATGCTAGTCTGTGCTAAGAAAATGTGCACAAAATCTCAGCACAGGCTAAGAATCCATAAGTATAGATGAAATCAGATCTGTTTTTAAGACCTGATCCAGATCATTAGCTAAGCGCCCATTGTGTTGAGTGTTCATTTTGAATATTTACTATTCATAACAATTCATTTCAGTATGTTAATTATTTCTGACATGACAATCAATGCGAGCACATCTAGGAACATTGTTTTGAGAAAAAATTGAACTAACGATGAAACTTTGTGCTTCCTGTTATTGAATTTGCATGTTATGAATTTGGTTTGGTATTGTTTTATAACCATAAAACTAACATGTAATCTTTTTGGTTACTGTACTGAGTAATCATAGTTAATAGGACTGAAGATTTACGTATTCTTAGCAAGTTTGGGCTTTTCTTAGCCTGTGATATACAAATATATAAGATTAGCTCAAATCTTAGCCTGAACAGGACTTGTGGTGTAAATGTTTCCACCAATTAATCATATTTATGAATCAGTGGAAGGAAATACCCCAACAATAACATTTTCAAACTGTATGTAGATCATTTTATATCTCCATTTTGTGCACTGAACTGATAATTCAGCAAAATACAAAAAGACAGTGACTTGTTTTCTGTCTAAATGTTTGCAGGTGAGACCAGAGATTCAATATTTACTTTTTTATTACCTTGCCCATATCAAAAAATGTAAACGGAACGGGAAAGAAAGAGGTCTATTAAGGAAAAAAAATGTCTGTTGTCAATAATTGTTAATGTGTGCACAATAACATTACTAATTCTATTCAGAACTGTGTCAAACTTGGTCACCTAATTCATCAGTATAAAATCTTACCTTAGTGCAATCGGCAGATATCCTGTGTGGAAATATCGTGCAAAAATTGAGAAAATCGTATTCAAAATCTTAACAGAAAACAATATGTCAGATAATAGATATAAGCACTCATATGAATAACCCTTTGGATGGCAAACTTTTGATCAAGATCTGAAGCCAATAAAAAATTATGTCTGTTTAGTCCAAAGTTATTAAAACAAATATACTGCAAAAATACATAACAGGCAAAACGTTTTGAAAGGGAAATGGTACTCAAAATTTTGTATTTGACATACAGTTCATTTGACAGAAAATTTCTTTGTCGAAAGTATATCAATTTTGAAAATCAAAATTTGTCTCAGTTGTTAGAACACAATTATCAAACTTTTATAATAATTTAAAAACACACTTCAAAGACAGAGTTTGAAGATGTAGATTCTCAGGAGGCAAACAGTACTGTTGAGTTTCTTCTCCACTGAACACATATTAACTATTTTTTAGAAACATGTTAGTTAATTTTCATACAAAGCAGAGCTTGCAACGTAATAGTTATCCCTAGAGGGTGCTTTTTACTTTTCAAATAATACAGTCATGGCACAATAAATATATAATTTGCGGCAGTATAAAATCATTAATTTATGACAGAGATACCTGTACAAAATACTTGAGCAAAAACCAGCTAAGATTTTCTGTTATCTTGTATGTTTCACAATTCCTTTTTTTTTCTGAAATGAGGCTTTTGTTTTTATACTAAAATATCTGAATCACTTTGAATAAAACCGGAAATAATTAATAAACAAATCAGGCACCAATGTTTTTGTAAGATATTTACATCATTCAACTTTTGGTAGACTGATTCCCCACTGCTGTTTCAATCCTAAAACGTGTTGGTTTTCAAAACTATGATAATTCATATTCATATTGAAACAAACTACCAGTATGATAAAGGAAATAATGTTATGTAACAAAGGTCACCAGAGATTAACTATGTTTTACTATTTTATTTAATTTGTAGATTTGGATATCAGCATCTCCAAACAACAGAATATACTCAAAGGTTTAGAACAAGAAAAACTACAGGTGGCAAGGCATCCACAGACTGACCAAGGATTTAAAAAGTATATCTATATAGTTATTCTCCTTCTTCTGACACTTTATGACATTGAATGAGCTTGCAGTAATTTGCAACACTATGGGCCAGTATATACCATACTTTCCGACTTCGTTAATTGTTCTGACTCATAGTATACAGTGGCTATACTCCGAGCCAAATCACAGCTGAGAGCCCATGCTCGGGTTAGCGCCCATCCCCCACTTTTGGGACATTTCTATTTTCGGTTTCACGTTCGGCTGAGCGCCAATTCCCTTCAAATGCTCCTAATTTGACTGTATAATCATAAAACTTGGTCTTTGATCATTGTTTAACACTTTTCTGAATACTGGTCATTGTTTTTAAATGATACAGTGTGGATATCGATCGCTGTCAAAATGTTGTGAATATGTAGACCATGATAATGGTCGGTAAAAGTCACGACAATGACCTGTTAATGAAAGTGAAATGCAATATTATAAAATATTTCATGCCATATTCAGTTTACCTATCAAAAATTGCTAGTTACTGTTTTTTGAAAAAAAAATTCATGGCATTTATTTGCCGAAATCAATTGCTACAGATCGTACTGCAACATCAATAATTCACTTCCGCATTGCGTTACCAGAAAGTCTTCAGGAATTTCTGAAGAATTGTATTCGTACAACACAGCATTCTGATTGGTTAATAACAGAGGTCAAAGGACGTTGTTGCAAGTCAAATCATGCGAGAAAACATGGCGAAAAGTGCTTTTCATTAGGAGTTTGTGTACGATCCAATACATTCGACAATGAAGATAATGGTGAAGATATGACTTTGACTGTGTTCCAACAGGCTCTAAAATTTTTAACTTGTAAATTTGAGTAAATTTGAATATTGTAATAAAATGTGCGTATTTTTTGTGACCATTTATTTCTGTTCCTTCATTGTAAAAGTAAATGATGACACAACTAATTTCATAATTTTATTTCCCCCCAAAGTCGTAATATCCCTCTCAACTTGTCACATTGTGAACTAAAATTGTCATTTGCTCTCTTTTCCGAGGGAGGGTGCTCGGGTAAGAGCCCACCCCTAAAAATCATGATTTTCTGAGTAGAGTACACTGGGTGCTAATGTGGTCGAGTATGATAGATATCTACAATAAAACATTGCATGAAATGTATTATTTGCTTCATAAATCTCTCCATCAGTAATTGTAATATAGTTTTGTTCAAATACAGGAACCTGTATTTCATGCTATGGAAAAAATCATCAAAGGGGGGAGGGGGTTATAATATTGTTTATTTTTCATTTACTTCTATGATTCTCATAGAAACAGGAACAATCCAAGTTTTGGTTCAGGTTTTATATGTGTTTCGAAATGCCAATCGCCTCCTTTTTTTTAAAAACAATCGTAATTCTTGATCTATCAAAATCATTAGGATGTTTAAAAATTTTAAATGTTTAAAAGTTATTTGGCCATTGTACAGATTTTGAAATAAAAATGCCTGTCCCAGGTGATAATGTACCTGTCCCTAGCTAGATTTTGAAATAAAAATGCCTGTCCCAGGTGATAATGTACCTGTCCCTAGCTAGATTTTGAAATAAAAATGCCTGTCCCAGGTGATAATGTACCTGTCCCAAGCTAGATTTTGAAATAAAAATGCCTGTCCCAGGTGATAATGTACCTGTCGCTAGCTAGATTTTGAAATAAAAATGCCTGTCCCAGGTGATAATGTACCTGTCCCTAGCTAGATTTTGAAATAAAAATGCCTGTCCCAGGTGATAATGTACCTGTCCCTAGCTAGATTTTGAAATAAAAATGCCTGTCCCAGGTGATAATGTACCTGTCCCTAGCTAGATTTTGAAATAAAAATGCCTGTCCCAGGTGATAATGTACCTGTCCCCAGCTAGATTTTGAAATAAAAATGCCTGTCCCAGGTGATAATGTACCTGTCCCAAGCTAGATTTTGA